TTCTCACGGCTAGAGTGCCATCTTAGCTCACAACAATGTCAAACTCCTGATCTTCTTGCCTCAGCCTCCTGAGTAGCTGGGACTACAGGCGCCTGCCACAACACCCAGCTAATTTTTCCTATTTTTAGTAGAGCTGGGGCCTGGTTCTTGCTTAGACTGATTTAGAATGCCCTGAGCTCAAATGATCCACCTCAGCCTCCAAGAGTGCTAGGATTACAGGTGTGAGCCAATGGGCCCACCCAGTTGACTAGATTTGTGATAGATACTAGTAGACTGAATAGTACCCCCAAGGATGTTCTTAATCCCTGAATCCTGGGAATATGTTTCATTACCTGGCAAAAGGGACTTTGCAGATGTGATTAAGTTGAGTTTGAGGCTGGGCATGCTGTCAGGAGCTCCTCACACTCTTGTGTGCGGCTTGGGGCCAAACCAGCTCCAGGGCAGATGTAGGAGATGAGGACTCAGCTCACTAAACAGCCAGCCCTGTCCAGCATGAAAGTGGTGGGACTAGGCAGAGGATGTGAAAGCAGCGACCAGGCAGGACACAGGCTCACACTGTGTGAGGTGCCTGGATACGCTGCTGATACCCAGGTGACAAAACAAAGCAGACCCAGGCAGTAACAGTGGCCATGGAGAAACTACACAGGACCGAGCAGCGAAGGCAAAAGCAGGCTCACCAGCAAGCCCCGCCCTCCCTAGTATCCCTCCAGCACCCTCTACTGGCCAGGCTGAGGAAGTTTCTGGTCTGCAAAGGAGAAATAGATAACGAGGCCTAGCACCATTAGCAAAGAGCAGGCAAAAAGAGCGAGTTTAGGGTAGGGTGACCAGATTTTAATATTGGTAAAGCGGGACAACATGGCCAGGGTCTGGGGCAGGGGCGGGGCAGGGGACGGGGCAAGGCAGGGCCTGACAACAATGCAAACTTTGATAAGCAGTTCTAGATAATCACTTCTCAACAATTATTTGTTATTATTACAGTTTAACATTATAAAATTAACAAAAATAATATAAAACTCATATTCTGGTGAAATAGCCACATGGCAGCTGAAAACCGTATATTCCCTTCCTGTTCTCCCACCCTTTCGTGCCTTCTTTCCAAAAATCGGGACTTTTTTAAAATGCGTGGGACACAGGACAAATTGTTCAAAAGCACGACGCCTGGTCACCCTAGTTTAGGGGTCAGGAAGAAATAAATTGAAAATGCCTTCCCACACTTTGGTGATTTACCACATCGTGAGACACCTTCCTCAGACAGACGACAGAAATCTCACTTCCAGGCCCTCCTCTTGCACCTGGGAAATGTTACTACCAGACTCGGAGTGGACACGTGACCTGGGCTCCACCAATCAGGTGCATCCAGAGAAGCTTCGCTTCAAAAGTGAGCAGCAACACCCAGAAGAAATGAAAACAAACATCCGAAGAAAAACTTGTACTTAAATGTTCACAGCAGCATTGTTTGTGATAGTCAATGAGTGGAAACAATGCAAAAGTCCATCTACTGACGACTGGATAAACAAAATATGGTCTATCCATACAACGGAATATTATTGAGTCATAAAAAGGAAGGAAATTTTGATACATGCTGTGAACATGGATGAGCCTTGAAAACACAACAGACACAAAAGACTACACTAGGGTGACCAGACGCTTTTCAACAATTTGTCCCGCGTCCCACAGCAAAAAGTCCCGATTTTTGGAAAGAATGCACGAATGGGCGGGAGAACAAGAAGGGAATATATGGTTTTCGGCTGCCATGTGGCTATCTCCCAGAATATGAGTTTTATATTATTTTTGTTAATTTTATAATGTTAAACTGTAATAATAACAAATAATTGTTGAGAAGTGATTATGGAGAACTGCTTATCAAAGTTTGCATTGTTGTCAGGCCCTGCCTTGCCCCGCCCCCGCCCCCCCATGTTGTCCCACCTTACCGACGTTAAAATCTGGTCACCCTAGACTACACCTGGTATGGTTCAATTTATATGAAATATCTAGAACAGGCAGATCCATAGAGACAGAAAGTAATTAGTGGTTACCTAGTGCTAGGTGGGGGGAAGGGTTTGGGATGAAATGGTGGGTGATTGCTAAAGGATATGGGGTTTCTTCTTAGGATGAGAAAATATATTCTAAAACTGATCATTGTGATGGCTTCACACCTCCTTAAATATACTAAAATCCATTGAAATAATTAATTTATTTATTTGTTTATGACAGAGTCTCACTCAGTTGCCCTGGGGTTGAGTGTCATGGTTTCATAGCTCGCAGCAACCCCAAACTCTTGGGCTCAAGTGATCCTCTTGTCTGAGCCTCCTGAGTAGTTGGGACTACAGGTGCCTGCTATAACACCTGCCTAGTTTTTTTTTTCTATTTTTAGAAAAGATGGGGTCTTGCTTTGCTTAGGCTGGTCTTGAACTTCTGAGCTCAGGTGATCCACCTGCCTCAATTTCCCAGAGTGCTAGGATTACAGGTGTGAGCCACTGCACACAGCTTGAATCATATACTTTAAATGGGTGAATTATATGGTATATAATTTATATCTACATGAAGTTGTCACCAAAAAAAAAATTAATATAATGTCAAGTAGAAATAAGGAGCATGAAATACATAAGACAGACTTGAGTAAGAAGCCTGGCTTTGTGACTTACAAATGGACCTT